TGTTAAAGGCCTATTAACTTAATTAGTTTGCTTTCTAGTTTTGGAAAGGCATTAAGATAAAACATACATTATTAATGGCCTTCTTGATTGAAATACATTAATTGAATTCTATCAATTATTACTTAGATGCTCAAATTAAACACTACTATTCATGAAGGAAAATAGTTAAAAGAACATCTTAGAAATTCAGCTGAAAATATTCCAAAGTTAGACCTGCAGTCCAAAAATCTCTGGTTCTCCTTTTCAGTTGAACCACAATACAAAAGCAAACAGCAGACCACCTTACCCAGCAGAAACTGCAATCTCCTTAAACAAGTATTAAGGAGGTACTTTAAAAAAACATAAAGTAACAATTTTCAGAATACATAAACAATAAAATTGTATGAAAATTATATCGAATTAACTGCTCTTTTTAAATTTAAAGCTTTCAAGGTAACAAAGGACAAGGGAACCAAATTAGGCTACTTCAAATAGCAACCAGAGAACGTCAAAAGATATACATAACAATATTACAAGACTATTTACACAACTAAACAAAAACAAAAATCATTAAGATAACAATTGGTCATCAGCAAATTCACAAATAAAGTTTAAGAAATATTACAAAAAAAGAAATAAATAAATCAAACCTAAAGTTTATACAGAGAGGGGTATTGTTCATCAATGTGATTAAAAATAGCTGAAGATTTTTTAAATCGGGTGATCATGTCATTTTTGACTAAGTTCCAAAAACCAACAGCAGTATTTCACTGATGTAAATTAAGGCATTTAAAAATGAAGTTGTGAGTTTCAACCACTTTTTGTTTTAAAAAAGGCACAATTTCCTTTCAATTCTCCTGACAAAATTATTATGCTGCTTCCTCTCCATCACATTTTCTTTCCTGCTTTTCAACATCCTCTAGGAAGCAGACTTATCAACTCTTATAAACATTTCAAACGTTAACATCTTACCACTGCACTTAGGCTAGGGACCTGAAATCAAAGCCTCAAGTGTTTTGTAACCTTTAAAACATTATTCTCCCTTAAGAGAGAACAGATGAACTTTGAAGAAATACAAAGCTGCGGTGTCCCTTTAAACTCGTCCAATTTCAGGTCTTCAAATACAGACAGATTGGCTCGTGAATCTAGCTTGAAGACTAGATGTTTTTCACAACAGTTCAAGTTCAATACAAGAACACTGTCAGAGGCAGACAATGGACACTGTATGTCTGATAGACTTTAAAGGAGGTTACAAGAAAGATTCACACAGGTGACAGTAATATGACCATTGGCACTTTACATTGCTGGCTCTTCTTCCATTGGTTCATCCCCCTGCCTATAAAAAAAAACAGAAAAATAAAAATTTCTTTCTAAAGCTTACCATAAAGGTGATCAGAAACAGAGATCTACAATGTTTCCAACTGTTTTAAATACTAAGTTTTCTTACATTTTTTTAGGGTACTTTAATTTCAGTTGACTGGTGAGGAAAATCAATATTTTATGGGTGTATATCAGGGAAAATTCCAAGAAATAAACTTAGTACACTTGTATTAAATTACTCTTTTCTGATAGTAAAAACACAGAGTTTAAACTTATCTAGATTACTTGTATAAATATTGTTAGACAACAAACAAAGATCATACACACAGCCTCTATGGGTAATTAAAATTTTATGACAGCTATAAATGTAAATTTCAGGTTTAATCAGAAAGTTTGTTTAATTCTGGTAAAAAAAGGTAAAATTATGAGAAGAAAATCTATTCTAGGTGATTCTTTTTGCATTAAAATCAGTTATGCAGTAACTTGAATTAATCATGAAACAAAGTGGGAACGTAGAACTGAAAAAAGGATCAGATTACATTTAATAATTTTTGAATTATGAGTTTGAATTTAATCCCCAAAATAAAATTAAACCTGAAAATGAAGTTTGTACCATACATTATGGTTAAGAACTGAATAAATTCAAACGAACTCTGAGAAAGGCTAGCGCAGGGCTGCCAAACAAAACAGACCAATGGCCACATCTACACTTGACAAAGTTACAGCTTTGCAGCCCAAGTGCTTAGAGGTCAGGACCACTAGTTATTTGAACATAGTATCATATCTGGAAGTATCAAGTATTTTATTTATATAATAAAATCAGTGCTGAGAAATGCCAGCAAATATTAAACTTTAAGGTTTCAAAGTTAATTGTACATAAACCAATCCAATCTATAGTTTCTAACAGGTACTGAGGGTGAACTGTAAAGTTGCCCCCCACCACAATGCCTTAATTGTTCAAAAATGGCTTTTGTGATAGGTCAGAAAGGTATTTCAGTGAGCAGCTAAGTTTAGCACAGACTACTAAGGTACTATAAGGTCCTAGGCCTGACCCCAGTCTGTTATCTGATCTCAGCAGGAGGGGTTACAACAAATCAGCTGCTCTGTTTTTAGACCAAGGAATGGAAAAATAAGGTGCAACTTCTGCCCTTGACTGATGGTCCGTGACCAGTTTTATAAAGTGCAAGTGCACAAACTTTGAATGAAGCTAGATCAATGTGAGGTCAAAAAATGACAGAGTGATTATTGACTTTTCTGAAAATTACACCATTGTTGGGAGCAGTTAATATTGGGGTTGATGGATGAAAGCTTGAATGTAAAATTTACCAATTCATAGTTGGTGCAACTTCAGTAAGTCAACCTCTAGATACAACTCAATTCTAAATAACAATTTGATCACAAATCCAAAGCAGGATCCAAACCCATAAGGGCTTGTGAGCAAGCTGCATAAAAAGCTTCTCAAAATCCCTTTCTCAACTGTTGAAATGGTACTGAAAGAGGTCACCAAAGCAAGCACCCACTATTTGAAGAGAATGCAGACATGCTGTTTATGAAGCAAATGAACCATGAATATGGTTTGTCACAGATTTATCTCCACATTTGCTGCTGGCTCTGCCACTTGGCAATGGTTTTTGACTTAAGAATATTCCATGTTTACAAAATATATTCCTCCCAGGACACAGCAATTTACTTCAGGTGCTGCCAGTTATCAGAAAGCAGTAATATTGCCAGTGGGAAGACAGATTTATACGCTTATGCCCTGCTGAGAGGAGCTCTGTCATAGTAATGAGTCAGGGCTACAGGCCATAAGCATGGCTATAATGATCTCAAGGGAAATAATGAAAACGCTAGTAAACCAAAAGGCACATCCTCATACCTGATTTTGTCAAAATTAGTATGTTTTTGAAGAGTTAAAATCTGGTGTTGGGTTGACAGTCTAATTTGCTGAGTCCTACCAATTGATTAATCTCAGGAACTAGTGGTAAAAACAAATAAGCCTCAGATAAAGTCAATTTAGTAGCAACTCCTCGATCCATGACAGAAATAACCAAGTGTACTTTTCTTTTGAAATGGAACTGTGCTAATTACTTAATACTACCCAAAAACCCCCAGAATTTCATGACGTTACCTGGCCTCTGATTCAGAATTGCTTTGTGCAGTGTCTACTGACAGAGAGGCTAGTGCTGTAACGGTTTCTGCTTCTTCTTTTTCATGCTTTTGGGCTTCTAGTAGCGAGTAGCCTACAGTAGAAGCATAGCGCTTCACCAAACTCCAGTGTTTACCTGGAAGTCAAATCACAATGATTTGGAATATTTGTTAAATTCTTAACATTAATTGGACACGAACAACTAGCATGAATATACAGTGTTAATGTGCAGTGCTGTAAACAGATATAAAATATGACAAGGATATACCATGCAACCATTACACAACAACCATTCTTTCTCTAGTAAATGTAGAAAAGGCACTCAAGAGAAATTCTACAATAATTTCAGATTACAACAGAGTCTGATCTTATTGTCAACTAATCTCTGTGCATGCACACTCTATCCTTTGTGACTTTCCTCTTTAACCCTATTCTGGGGTGCAGAGATGGAGGGCAGCTAACCAATCAAATGACATTCACCTGCTTGCTAGTTTACCAGTTCATCCACTGGGAAGGCATACGTCACAGAATTACAGAAGGATGACTGGGCAGAATGAGGCCACTTGGCTCATCCACTCTCCAAGAAAGCATCAAAACATTCTCCCACCGTTTCCCTATACCCTTGTACATACAAAAAAGTTTAAATAGCCAAAGTCCTCCTGAATACATCAATTGAATTTGCTTCCACCCCATTTCCAGGCAGTGCATTCCAGACTTGTGCGACAAGTTTTTCTCACCAATTGAACCCTCCAGTTCTTGATCCTCTTATGATTGGGAACATTTCTATCCTACCCAGGCTCCTCATGATTTTGAAAACTTCTATCAGGTATTCGCTTAGCCTTATTCTCTCTAAGGAGGAAAATCCCAATATCTCCACCCTATCCTCATAACTGAAGTTTCTCATTCCTGGATCCAGTCTTGTAAATCTTCTCTCGCCAATCCGTTAACATCTGTTATAGTGTGACACTGGGATTGAACACAATACTCTGTAGCAGAATTGTGGGTTGGTCAGCTCAGTTGGCTGGACGGCTGGTTTGAAATACAGAGTAATGTCTAAAGCATCGGTTCAATTCCCGCACCGAGTGATCTTACAACGAGGAATCCTCCTTCTGAACATCTCCCCTCAACTGGAATGTGGTGGTCCTCAGGTTAAACCACCAACAATCATCTCTCTCTAATGAGAGAGCAGCCTTATGGTCCAGCAGGACTATGATGACTTTACCTCTTACTCTAGCTGATGTCTAACAAGTGTCCTTTACAAGTTCAGCATAATCTCCTTGGTCTTGAACTCCACACCCCTATTAATAAAACTCAGAATGCTGTATGCTTTATTAACTGCTCTCTCCACCTGTTCTGCCACTTTCAGTGATCTGTGCATATATACATACTGCTCCTGCACCACTTTACAATTGTACCCCTCATGTTATATCGTATATCCACTTTCTTTCGCACAAAAGGTGTCATCCTACACAACTCGGCATTGAACGCCATTTGGCAACTCTCCGTTCACTGTACCAACTTGTTTATGTTCTTTTGACATTCTATGTTAGCCTTCCGCAAAGTTTAAAATACTGTCAAGTTTTGTATCATCTGAAAATGTTGATATTCTCCCCTGTGCATCAAGGTTATTAAGATCATTAACATATATTAGGAAAATGAAGGGTTTTGATGCTGACCCCTGCAGAAATCCATGACAAAGCTTCCAGCCTGACAAATATCCATTGATCACCACTCCGTTTCTTATGACTCAGTCAGTTTATGTTGCTATTTTATATTCCATGGGTCACTTTTCTCACAAGTCTGTTGTGTGGCACTGTATTGAATCTTCTGAAAGTCTACGTACACCATATCATCAGCATTACCTTACTGACCCTTTCTGCTACCTCTTCAAGCAAACCCCAGAAAAATGGTTAAAAATGATTCCACTTCAGAAATCCATCCTGGCTCTTCCTAATCAACCACCTTTTCCCTTGTGACTACCAACTCTATCCTAAACAATTATTTACAGGATCTTCTCCACCACTGAGGTTAAACTGACTGGTCTGAAATTGCAGGGCTTATCCTTGATATGATCCCAGATGATGTTATTACTTGACAAGTAAGATCCCAGACTGAAGCCTGGCTTGATAGATCATGTTTTGTTTTGGTTTTAGCTAAAAGAGTTAAATGAGAGGTGGTCTCTCATTGAAATATAAACACACTATATTACAGATTTTGTTTTAACAATAAAATCAAAAGTTCATTAGTCAAAGAAATGAAACTAAGTGCAAGAAACCAAACTGTATTTTTATAATGCAAATTTTAAACACAGTAAAACTACAGTCTCATTAATCCCAAAACACTTCTTTACAAATTTCAAAACAATAACATCCCTCATACAGATTCCAGATGCAACTCCTGTACAATACTAGCACACCACAGGAAAAAACCTCATCCTGACTCCGTGATAGGCTTAAGTTAACCATGGCTTCAACACGTGGACTGGAAATGCTGACAGGCTCTTTCTGGAGCTTTCATACACCTGATTTTAAACATATTTTGCTTCAAGTAACCTCTTGAGGGTTTTATCCCAACACTTCTGGTTTGGGACTATCACTAACTCCTTATTTTAAAGTAATCTAGTTTTCCACATCTCCCTTTCTCAGGAGCACTGCTCTATACAACCATCTCCATTCAAAAACTTTACAGAATAGCTCAAATACAAGTAATGTAACTAAAATAAAGTCTTTCCTTCTAAACTATGAGTGCTCCCCAAAGATTAAAAAAAAATCCAAGTCTAGACATTTGTAACAGACCTTAAAGTATTGTGGTTGCCTTGCTAAATTGGAAAACATTCCAAGGTAAACAAAATCCCATTGATGCTGCCAAAGTAGCTATCACAAACTGTTCAAAAGAAATCATCATGGCTACAGAAACACTCATAAGTTAATTAACAACTTCGGACGCACAGAACTCCCAAATGTCCTAACCCAAATTTAAAACAAATGACATTTAAAAATAAACTAACAAAAGAGCAATGTTTGCAATTCTCAGTGTTCTGCTATTTCCCGAGTTTAGGGAACACTGGAGAATTACAAACTGAAATCCTACAATACCGTTGCAATTGCCATTCTCACTTCCTACAATATCCTTTAGATCCTGGGACCTCCAGTCGTAGTGTCGAATCAACTTTATGTACCAACAATCCATCCTACGGTCCTTCCTTATCAATTTGTAACCATCCTAGTGACAGAGTTTCCTTCTTCCCTGTGATCATGACCTCTTGGTAAAACCAGATGCAAAGTTATAATTTAATTCCTCAACCACATCTCCTGCCTCCATGTCTAAATTCCCTTTTTGTTCCTTAATCTGCCCTACTCCTTTTACTGCTCTTTTTCTATTTTTTTGCCTATAGAAGGCGTTGGCATTCTCCTTTCTGATGGCTGCAGCATTTTCCCATAACTCCTCTTTGCTTCTCTGATGATTTTTCACCTTCTCTCAACCTTATGTATTCTTCTCGGTTCTCGTGTATTTTCTAGCTGTTGCTTGTCATAAGCACATTCTTCTTATGTTATATTTTATCTACTTTGTTATCTATGGAGCTCCAAATTTGTTTGTCCTTCCTTTCCCTTTTGAAAGAATATATTTGATTGTACATGAATCATTTCCTTTATATGGCCCACTGTTCAGTTACAGTTTCTCCTGCCCACTTCTGTTCTGACCTTACTTTTAGTAATAATTCACAAATTCAGCTTGACCTCCACAGGCACTATAATTGTTAGTTTGGAATAACCAGAACTGTTTTCTCGTTGGTTGAATACATTCACTGAGTCTCATAATAAAATTAGCTCTACTGAAGCAGCTGTGTAAGTAAATCACAGATTTTATTGTGGAGAAATACTTAAAATGGAGGCAGTTTTGAAGCAATGAACCAAGATTTTCTGATATAAGGATAATCATTTTAGCTGCATACAGGGAAATATATATTGGGTCCATGCGACAGTCCTGACACAGCTGATTCCCCAAGAACTTGAAACTTTTGGTGGGCAATTACCTGATCTCAGGAACCCTCTGAGAAAATGCTCAACTCTGAGTTAGAGTTGAAGGGTTCTGACCCACTTAGCTTAGCAGCTACCAAGAGAAAATAGAGGAGTGAAAACTAACCAACTCCTTCGAAACTGGTTAAATTGACCTCCCGACTCATTATTAACTCACCCCTTTGACCATTACAGGGGCATCTCACTGTCCTGACCCCAGCTTCTGGCTCTCCCCCCAACAAAGTATATTTTCCCCTTAAGGGGCAACATTTTCATGCAGAGGGTGGTGCGTGTATGGAATGAGCTGCCAGAGGAAAATAGTACAGGCTGGTACAATTACAACATTTAAAAGGCATCTGGGTGGGTATATGAATAGGAAGAGTTTAGACTGATATGGGCCTAATGCTGGCAAATGGGACTAGATTAATTTAGGATACCTGGTCAGCATGGACGAGTTGGACTGAAGGGTCTGTTTCCATGCTGTATATCTCTCTGACTCTATGTCCCATCACCTGTGAACAAGGAACAATAGCCTGCTCTGCCATTCAATAAGATTATGGCTGATCTGATTTACCTGATTTTGTGACTTGCAACATTCACTGTAATTGATGGTCTGTAGAGGTCAGGAAGGCAAAAACTCATACAAACGTTCTGAGCTTTCAGAATAAATACCAATGACCTACCAGGTTGTTTATTTCCACTTCTAAGCGGCTTAAATGTGGGGAGAACACAGCTCTTGAAGGTATACCGTGCACTGTGGGAGGCACCATCTTTGGTCAAGTTTTATTACAATATGACTGCCCAAGTCAGGGCTGCAACTGCTGGCAGCATTGTAATGTAAAGGTGGCATTAAGGAACTGCCATTTTAGAAGTGGCTCAAAACCTTAATTTTTTTTAAATTAGCATTATTGTCAAAGAGTCTTATGACAGATATTTATTACATCAATATGTTAATAAGCAGTTAGATTATGTACAGTGAGACAACTTACTTTGAATTTCTATAACTTTTTCTAGTGATGCAACTGCATTTGCATTGGGTTTTTGTTGAAGTATTTCTTGCGGAAGAGGATCAAGCTAGCAAATAAGATAAATAATACATTATTACAAACAAACATTAATTATTCCACCATTGCCTGGAAATATATAACCTTGTGATTTTTTACCTTCCACTTTCAGAAAGTGAGATTTTAAGTTATAAGGGTAACTGCTTTCACTGACTGAATTTGTAATGCACTCCTGACCACCAAAATTCTAGATATGTACTTTTATAAAACAAACAGATTGAAAAAGTTCAAATGTCTAAAAGACACAGTGAGATTTTAGCTGAATCACTGAAATGTTAATGATATTATTTCCCTTAAACTACATTCTACACTCCAATATATCAAGCAAGGATTGTCAGTTTAGCACCTATGCTTGTTAAGTTAATGTAGAATGTTTACAACATGATCTGGTTTTGATTTTGACTGTGCATACCTCATTACCCAGCAGGGCTGAAACACAGGACTCAGATGCATCACAGATGGCAGTGAGATCATGTCCTCCTTCCAAAGCAAGAACCACACGTCCTGCAGCTAGCTTCATCAGCTGTTTGGTCAGGTAGCCAAAACCTGAGAAATAATATATATTAAGCACATAAACTAACATTGAAGAAGGAAATTTCTTCTCCCGATTTTTCACACACGGTATTTTGACAATGGTAAATTTGGAAACACATTCCATCATTAAATGAAATCATACCTTGAACATAATTCAGATTAATGAAAAACACACAGAAATGTAAATTAATTCTATTTGCCTAATTCTTTGCAAGTACATATATTACACATATTATGGTGATTTTGTTCATGTTTCAAACTTATAGCCTTTATTTTTATTTGATAAGATCAATGATACAACATGGAAATCCTTTAAATATTTTGGGACTTATGCTGTGAAACATCAGTTATCACCTTTGGTCTCCTTCCATCTACAAATGCTGCACACATACTTCCAAGAATTATTATAGGTTGCTGTTTTGGCATTGATGCCTCTTCCCAAGTCACTGTAGCCACTGGCAATAGTGAAAAGCTTTTTCACACACAGTTAGCTTATTGCTTATTAGCAGTTTAACATTTACATTAACGATTGCAAATCTGAAACTAAATGTTTACAAAAATAATTTCAATTGCATTGAGTTATTCTCTTAAATTTCTGAATAGTCTCTTAATTTCAAGAATTTAATTTCAGCAAAGAGAAAATGAAGTCAACATTGATTTTTGTTACATTCTATTGCTTGAATTATGATTTAATTTTGTACTTGTCACAACTTCAATAGTCTTCCATAGTCTTCCATATACAGCCCATAAATCTGGGTGCTGAAAGAAAGTGGGATCAGTTGTTTCCCAACAGCATGTGACACTACAAACACCTTGAAGAATCTGGATGTCATTTAATTGTACATTTATATCTGTTAAGATGGGAAAGATCAGTGGATGAAAGCTAATTGATATTGATAAAGCTATTCATTTTTCTGCCATATAAATAGACAAGTTTTGCCACAAAACTTGATTTATGATAGACTTTTAAAAACAATGAAAAGTGTAAATAAAAAATAAGGTTTCAATTCCCTAGTATAAAGCAAAGCAAAAGAAAAAAAAAATTCTGCAATATTACACTTTCCAGCCTGATTTAAATGAGATCTGCAATGGTCTGTATATTTTCGAAACTACTTAATGGCTATTTTGTTGTTATATCACTACAGTTCCTTCAGATCTTTTCTCTTTCAGAATTAGATCAAAGTACTTAAAATTCAATTATACTTGTAAAACTGAAGTAGTACTGCAATTAAAAAAATGCATTTAATTAGACTTAGTTTTTTTGTGTACTCAGTCAAAAGAGAGCAATGTAATAATTTATTTAAATGAACTGAATTTGTGGCATATTTTATTTTAGTGCTAAACAGTTCTAAACTAGGTGTGCAGGTTTAATTTAGGATTTTCCAAGTTGTAAATTACATTTAAAAAAGAAATTGAGAGAATTTTAAATAATTGGGTGCAAAATAATTTCTGAAGTATGTGTACAGTAACTTTATTTAGATTTTTAAAGCTGAAAACAGAATTAGTGCTTCAAGTACTCAGCCTGAGATGATAGCAAGAATGCTTAAGTCTGCATACTAGATAATTCCTACAGGCTGGAACCCAGGAGTGATAAGATCTCATCACCTCCACAAACGTGATGACGATGATTTAAAGCAGACTTTTTCACATTTTGGAGGAACCACTATAAACATGGACAGCCCACCCTAACTTTTAAAAATGCTTTCAGCTACCCAAAGAAAGAAATGTGCCATGTTGCAGAAAATATGTTTATTTACATATCCATTCATCCACTGTATCTGCCAGAAGGGAAGATGCTAACAACTCAAGTCTCAATTGAGACACTTAAAATTTTCATCTTCAGAGCACCTTCTACGAGATAAGCTGCAACAAATCTAATGAACCCAAGCTTTTTTTAAAGACTTTGGGAGTGGTCAATTTGCATTAAAAAGGTGCAAGCTTTTCAAACTAGCTTTTAGAACTACTGCTCTAGTTTCCCCTCATTGGGTTTGGAGTAGGGTCCATACCCCTTCTTTCTGACTCAGTCAACAGCATTATCCCAGTGGTCACTTGATCTGAACATGAAGGCCTAGCAAAGTAGCTTTCAAGATTCAAATTTTGGTTTGAAAACTTACACTTAGCTGTTGCACAGTATCCACCAAGCGGTGAGGGATGGCCTTCCACAGCATCAAAGCCAGCAGATACCAGCACAACGTCAGGTGAAAATTCATTGGCAATGGGCATCACGACAGTCCTAAAAAAACACCAAGTTGCATATTTCTGGACTGCAGATAAACTTAAATGCTTTATATTCAAAGGTTATATACGGTTATAATTGCAACTAATGTACGAAGCACTACCTTGTCTCTGGAGATTTTACTATTAACTATGAAAAGAAAATTCTGCCAACCTTTCAAATTTTGTTTTATTCATTCTTGGGATGAGGACATCACTGGCTGTGCCAGCATTTATTGCCCACCCCTTTCCAATTCACCTCATTGGAACAGAGTTTATTGCTGTTCATTTTAAGTACTAACAGATTATACTGCATAGGCTTAATTTTTGAGAGTTTTCAAGTCTAGTCCATTCAGATTTACAAAAGGGACACTGTCTCTTTAATGCCATTCAGGAAGCAGTTTCCTTAAACTCAAGAATGAGTTCATGCCCATGAAATGGCTGAACAGTAGGTGGCCGCTACTCATATTTAAGTGACTCTGGACTAACAAATAACACATGCCCATATGGCGTAAACTTTAGTCCAACAGCATTTATCATCAATTGTATTGGCACCGTGGCATATAGAAAGCACATGCAATTCTGGCAATTATGTGCCAAATGTAGGTTTGTTCTCAATATGTCAAGCAATCAGTTTTAAAGCAAATTCATTTATATATGTAGTTTTCAACGCAAGAGTTAATTCAACATGTGTAGCCTAAAGAACAAAATAACACTCTAAATGCATTTATGTAGCATATCATGGTGCCATATTGTCCAGGAAAATCCCAAGTTCAAATCTTGTTCTCTACCAAGTTAGTTGACCTAAATTATGGCAAGCAGAAAGGAACTAGAATTTGCCTCAATGTCTTTAAGTTTGGATGGGAGCCAGGAAACCAAAGGGATTCTGTTGGGCTTTCAGTTCCCAGGTTCAGCGACCTGTTTTAAATTGTACACATGTAGCAGTGAAATAAGAACAGAATTAATCTTAGTTGTAATACCCTCCACTGTCATATAGGACTACACATAAAGAATTGTCACTGAAAAGACGCTAGTGAGCTGTGAGAACACATGAAACTAAGTAATAATGAGTTACCACTTTCCAGGACAGAATAAATCAAACCTAATTACTCTACTGTTGATTTTCGTATCATAGGATTGCACTATATATTAATAGATTTCTAATAGAACTGTTTTATCATGAAGGTATTTGATTGGAGGAACGAGTGCCTATGCAGTTATAAACATTCTTTCTCTATAGGAAGCGCTAATACATGATGCCGAACACAGTGGAAACAAGTCCTGCTCTGCTGTCCCACAGGGTCCTGACATCAAAAGATAACAAAATCTTGGTCAATAAAACTAAAGCACTGATGGCAAGAACAAAGTCCTAATAACAACAGGATTTTTAGAAACAGTTAAAGTATCAGTACTCGTATTAACCTTACTGAGAATTTACAACAAACATTGCAGAGACAATAAATGTAGGTTTTTAAAACCAAACAATTTGGATAAAGGCTTTCTTGTAACATTCAAAATTATGCTGTAAAACTAATCAACTCAATCTGTCTGCCATCATCCTTGTTATTATTCAAGATCTTATAATAAGTGTAGCAACGTTTGCACCTTTTTTGTTTGCAAACAAGAAAACAGCAGACATATGGCCTTTAAAGTCAGTAAAAGTCAGCTGAACTTCAATGATTGAAAACAGCACCGGGATAATTTTTTAACATCAAACAATGATGGCCTCAAAGACAGCAGCTGGAACTATACAAGTGTAAGGACAAACCTAAGTCTACAAAATTTGTGATATGCTGGGTATGCAAAAAGGAAAAAGGGCAGCCTTCTGGATTTCATTAAATTCAATTATCTGATCCAACTCCAGCCTGACCCTGTAGCATGCAAGCAACAAAATTTGGCTTCTAGTCTGTTTAGTGTTATCCTGCCTGAGGCTCTTGACCATTTCCTGGAAGCTCCCTTTCCCAAATGTTAGTTCCTTTGAATAAAACGTTTTGCTATGGTTTTTTTTGCCTGCACTTTATTAGATTTCTCCTCCCCCACCAATCAACTGATTTAGGAAGTATTTATAGATAGCTCTTGAGAGAGTAAACTACAAGATGAGTTCAGGCCTAAACACAGAATCTGTACAACTAGCAGTCCCAGCTCAGCTGCTCCAGTTCGAATTGCTGCAGTGTTAATTACATGCAGGTGAACACCTGAAGCAATATTCTAAGCTTGATTTCACTGAAAGTAAAATAATTATGAGTTTCAGAAAAATAACTTAATTGCTGCAATCAATCAATATTTAATCCTCAGACTTTTAAATTAAAGCTTTTTTGTGTGATGCTAATGAATTTGTCCGGATTTTAATTGTGTTATTTATTTTACTGGAAGACTGCTACATCCAGGGTGCTACGGATAAATAAAAGATGACATGTCGGTGATGCAGGGATATGTAACCACAGAGAGAATTGCTGCAATGTCAGGTGAACCTTATAATTCAGGAAGAGCATTTTCTAAGTTTGTTACTGTTGAAAAGGTTTTCGCACAAAAGCTCCATGCAAATAGAACTTCACCTGAAAGCTGTCAAGTACTCCACATCTCCATTAGAGGGATCCACACCACCTGTCCAAGCAATATTGACATTGAATCCTACTCCAGGTCCTGTTCCAACCTTTAAAAAATTTATGAAAGAAAATGAAGATGCCTCTAAACAAATTTCAAAAAGGAAATCAGAAGCAACAGATGCACTTTTTAAAATATAAACTTTTGCTCACTGACTTTAATTATTTTTACAGATTCAAGATAGATATGGATACCAAGGATATTAAAACATTTCAGCCTTTAGTTCAACTCTAAGTGTTAAAAACCAAAATACAAATTTAATCTATATACAAACTGCTTGCATTTTTCTGGTGAATTTTCTTTTCATTCGTTCATGGGATTTGACCATCACTGGCAAGGCTAACATTTATTGCCCAGTTGAACTGCCCTTGAAAAGAATGCCTTTATTAATCCTACTGCATTCCAGTGTAGAATTGAGAAAAGTGCCTAATCCATTTTGGCCAGTCGACCTTCCAAGGGGAAATCATGAATCAAAAGTATGATGTCCTGTTTGTACACTGGTTCACAATTACAGTCATGCAATGAAGGTAGTGACAATTAATTTATACAGGCCACCTTTTTCAGGCCATCCCAAAATAACACTCTTTCTTTCAAGACCAGGAGCTGAGTAGGTAGTTCATGAAGTATGTGAGGAAGTCAGAGCATCCAATATGGAGAGCCCATGTAAATTAGCTAGAGGCATGTCTTTTCTAAGAAATTGTGCACCTCTATTGCTGAAAAGGATCAGATTATTGTAGGTAGGTAGGTATACGAAAAATGGCACATCTTTGTGCATCACGACATTGTAATCTGCATTAGATTTTGGAGTTCTTTACAGCTGTTTCACTGGATCTGACAAGAAATTACCTCACTGACAAATTCCCATTTTGGATTACACTCATTTGTGGCTTGCTTATTAATTCAAGTGGAATGAGATTTGAGAACTCTATTCTGTCATTGATATTAAATTTATGCCACTAAGTTGAAACTCAGTTTGCCTGAAAACCACAATTTAAAATCAGTGGATTAATGTGAACAGCAATATCACGAGAATGCCAATATCAGCACTAGTTCTGACTGCAGTCTCTGTGACAGAAATGTTTCCATTGTATAAGCAGGGAAAACCAGTGTGATGATAACACAGAGCATTTGCATGATAGGGAGATGTACTTTATGACTCTGGCATCAGCTTTTCACATACATGACTGATCTGTAAGGACAAGGGATGCAGAGGTGGATGCTGCAGTAGTACTGCACAATTACTGCAAAGGTGTTCATACAGCACACCACTCCGATATTAGCTAAAGGAGAAACACCTTAAAATTTTATTTATCCATGTAACATTGCTATATTTTACAAAACCTCAAGTGTACAGATCCTAAAATATACATCAGCATATCACTACAGCATTACAATGCTTAAATAATGACTCAAAGTTCTGTAACCACATTAGAACAGGAGATTGAATTTGCTTTCGTCTTCATTGTGCACCTGGAACACATGCATTCCCTCCATACGTTGTGCAGCTTTTTAAAATTCATTCATGGGATGCAAATGGTGCTGCCCAAGCCTGTATTTATTACCCATTCCTAATTGCCCTGGAGAATGAGTGATAAGCTGCAATCCTTGAAGAGTAGGGACACTAACTAGGGAATTCCACGATTTTGATACAGCAACAGTGAAGAAACAGCGATATAGTTCCAAGTTGGCATGGTGTGTGGCTTGCAGTGGGGGACCTTGCAGGTGATGTTCCACGTAGCTACTGCCCTGTCTTTCGGAGTAGTAGAGGTCATGGATTTGAAAGATGTTATAGGAGGAGTCTTGGCAAGTAACTGCAGTGCAGCTTCTAGATGGTACACACTTCTGGAACTGTGTAGCGATGGTGAAAGGAGTGAATATAGAACGTTTGGGATTCTAATCAAATAGGCCGATTTGTCCTGGATGGTGCAGAGATGAGTGTTGTTGGAGTTGCAACCATCCAGGCAAGTGGAGTGTGTTCTGTTACAATCCTGACTTATGCCTTGTGGATAGTAGATCGTCAGTGGGGAGTCAGGCAGTCTTGTCACAGAATTCCTAGCCTTTGGCCTGCTCTTGTAGTCACATTATTTATTTGGGTGGTTCAGTTCAGCGTGAGGTCGCTGCTAATCCCAGGATGTTGCTAATGGGTAAACCACGACGGAAATGTTGCTGAACATCAAGGGATGATAGCTGGATTCTCTCTTGTTTGAGATAGTTATTTCTGAACACTTTCGTGGCGTGATTGTTACCTGACAACTAGCAACCCAAGACTGAATGCTATTGGGTCTTGTTGCATAGGAAGAACATAAGTTGCTTTGGTATCTGAGAGTTATGAATGAGGTTAAACATTGTGCAATCATCAGCACTTCTGAACTTGTGACATCAGGAAGATCAATGATGAAGCAGGTTGGGCCTAGGACACCACCCTGAGAAAATCCTGCAGGATTGGCTTGGCACTGAAGTGTATGATCTCCAAAAATCACAACCAATTTCCTTAGTGCTAGGTATAACTCCAACCAATGGAGAAATCTCTACTTGATTCCCCTAGATTTCCAATTTTGCAAGTGGTCCTTGATGCCACACTTGGTCAAATGCTGCACTGACGCCAAGGACAGCCCTCCTCTCCTTACTGAAAGTTTGTAGCTTGGATTATAATGCGGTTGTTCATTTGCTCACCAAGCATGATCTCCTTCAATGTAATGGCACAATTTATGTCTGTTGACATACCGTTAGCCAGAGAGACACTAGCCACACTACTAGAAGGACCAGGTGCACTGACCCTGAACACCAGCAACAACATCAGCAAGGACAGCTTACTGAAACTACGAGATTTATGCATCACAATGCACTTCACGTTCAACGACCAAATATATAAACAGATCAACGGCATACTGATGGGATTACCCATTTCAGAAACAGTGATGCAGAGACTGGAACACAGTTTTTCCTACAATCCAACCAAAACTGTGGATAAGATATGTTGATGACACATTCGTAATAATCAAATGCACAAAAGTAGAAGAAACCCACCAACTTGTTAATAGCATCTTCGCAAGCATAAAACTCACTAGAGAGCAGGAAAACAACAAATGGCTCCCGTTCTTAGACGTAGTAATAGAGAGACTAACTAACAGCAAATTTCAAAACCGAGTGTACAGCAAGACCATACACACGGACCAAATCCCAAACTTCAATAGCAACCACCCCACCATATACAAACACAGCTGCATTAAGACACTATTTAAATGACCACATCACACTACAAAACCCCAGAGAATGGAAGAGGAACACCTGCACAAAGTATTTACCAACAACGGATACCCAAGAAGTTTCATCTGCTGGTGCCTATAAAACAAATGACAGTCAGAGGACACGGTACAACAGAAGACACTAGCAACTCTACCCTACATCAAAAATATATCAGAAATGACAACCAGACTCCTTAGACCGCACAGGATCACGATTGCACACAAACCTACAACAACACTGAGTCAAATGCTATCAAAGACTAAAGACCCCATACCGACAGTAAACAGGACTAACGTGATATACAGAATCCCATGCAGTGAGTGCAATTAATATTACATTGGACAAACGAAGAGGAAACTGATGATCAGGATACACAACCACCAGCTGGCAGTAAAAAGACACGATCAATATTCACTTGTCTCGATACACACAGACATTGAAGGCCATCAGTTCCACTGGGACAAAGTGACAAGACAGGGTCAAGCGAACAACAGACATGCAAGGAAATTTCTGGAGGCCTGGTTCTCAACATGGGACGCTATTAAAATAGACCCTGTATACAGACCTGTGCTGAGAAACAGAACCAGAAGTGACAAGACCACCACACCAGAGGATCATATAAATTCAGGACAGAGCAGAACACCAATGTTTCAATTAGAGGTCGCACTGATGATGTTGCCTAAAATGGTAACGAAACACCTGCACACCACGGGAACATCTGGTTTGGCGAGCAAATGAACAACCGCACACTCTCCTTACCTACGGAGTTCAGCTCTTTTGTCCATCTTTGGACCAAAGTTATAATGAGGTCAGGAGCCGAGTGGCCTTGGTGGAACCCAAACAGAGCATCAGAAAATCGGTTACTGCTAAGCAAATACTGCTTGATGACACTGTTGATGGCCCCTTTCATTACTTTGCTGATGACTGAGAATAGACTGATAGGGCAGTCGCTGTCAGTTCGGATGTGTCTTGCTTTTTATGCATAGGACACAACTGGGCTATTTTCTACACTCAAGGGGAGATGTCAGTGTGTAGCTGTATTACAACAGCTTGGCTAGAGTCGCAGCTGGTTCTAGAGCATTTCTTCAGTCCATTGTTTGAATGTTGTCAGGGTACATAGTTTTTGCAATATCTAGTGCCTCCAGCTGTTGTTTGATAAGTAAATTAAATCGATTGAAAATTACATCTGTGAAGCCTGGGTGCTCAGGATGCGGTCTGGGTAGATCATCCACTTGGCACTTCTGGCTGAAGATGGATTTAAATGAATCAGCCTTGTATTTTGTATTAATGTTTTAGGCTTTACCATTGTTAAGGATGGTGAGTTGTTCAGTTGTCCATGGTCATTCTCAACTGGATGTTTATATCTGGTTTGTTTGTTGTGGGATCAACTAGCCCTGTCTATTGCATGCCGTTGCCAATGTTCGGCGTTCAAGTAGTCCTGCATTGCAGCTTCAACAGATTGGCACCTCATTTTTATGTATCTCAGGTTGTGCTCTTGGAATTCCTTCCTGTACTTTTCATTGAACCAGGGTTTAGCTCCTGGCTTGATGGTAATGGTGAAGCAGGAAATATGCTAGGATATGAGGTTTAGATTATGGTTGAATACAATTCTGTTGCAAACAGGCCACAGCACCTCAGGGATGGCCTATTTTGATTTCCTAGTCTCACTTGGCATGGTGGGAATGCCACACAACATGATGGAGGGTATGTGCAAAGTGAACACAGGATTTCATTTCCACAATGTCAGTGCAGTGGTTATTCCTACCAATACTGTCATGGACACATGTTTTTTAAAAATTATTTTGTGGAACGTGGTTGTCGCTGGCTGGCCAACATTTATTGTCCCTCCCTAGTTACCCTTGAGAAGGTGCTGCTGAGCTGCTTTCTTGAACTGCTACAGTCTACCTTCTGTGGGTTGACCCTTAATGCCATTAGGGAGGGAATGCCAGGATTTCGACCCAGTGACAGTGAAGGAACGGCGATATATTTCCAAGTCAGAATGGAGAGTGGCTAGGAGGGGAACTTGAAGGAGGTAGTGTTCCCTTATATCTACTGCTCGTGTACTTCTCGATGGAAGTGGTCTGTGGGTTTAGAAGGTGCTGTCTGAGGATCTTGGATGAAGTTCTGCAGAGCACGCTGCTGCTACTGAGTGCCACTGGTGGAGGGAGTGGATGCAGTGCTAATCAAGCAGGCTGCTTTGTCCTGGATGCTGTCAAGCTTCTTGAGTATTGTTGGGGCTACAGTCATCCAGGCAAGTTGGGAGTATTCCATCAAACTCCTGACTTGTGCCTTGTAGATGGTGGACAGGCTTTGGGGAGTCAGGTGAGTTACTTGCTACAGTATTCCTAGCCTCTGACCTGCTCTTGTAGCCTCTGCATTTATGCAGTGAGTCCAGTTGAGTTTCTGATCAATGATAGCTGCTAGGATATTGACAGTGGGGGATTCAGTTATGGCAACACCATCGAATGTCAAGGGGCAGTGGTTAGATCATCTCTTGTTGGTGATGGTTGTAGCCTGGCATTTGTGTGGCACAAATGTTACATTGCTACTTGTCAGCCCAAGCCTGGATACTGTCCAGATCTTGGTGTATTTGGACATGGCCTGCTTCAGTGACTGCGGAGTCGTGAATGGTACTGAACGTTGCAAAATCATCAGCGAACATCCCCACTTCCGACCTTATGTTGGACCTTATTTATGAAGCAGCTGAAGATGGTTGGGCCCAGTACACTACCCTGAGGAACTCCTGCAGAGATGTCCTGGAGTTGAGATGACTGACCTCCAACAACCACGACCATTTTCCTATCTTCTCTGCTACTTAGCAAGATCAGTTGCAACAACACGTCCCTAATTTTACACTTGATTCCTTTCGCAACAAATGCCAAAATTCCATTTGCCTTCTTTTACCTGCTATACCTGCATATCAGCTTTCTGCATTTCATGCATGAGGACATCCAAATCCCTCTGCACTGAAAAATTTGAAGTTCTCTCTCCATGTAGATAATAAGTTGTCTTTTTATTCTTCTGACCACAATAGATAACTTCAAACTTACCCATGTTAAAATCCATTTGCAAAATTTTGGTCCAATCATCTAACCTACCATTTGTAAATGTTTCATAAATTTATAAATTCCTAACGCTTTCCCTATTTCTTCATTGTAACTTACTTTCCTACCTACTTTAGTGTCATCTGCAACATTGGCCACGTGACATTCTAGTCTGCATCCAACTCATTAATATAGATTATAACCAGTTGGGGCCTGCAGACCAAATCTTGTGACAATCCACTAGTTACAGCTTGTCAACCAGAAAAAAGATTGTTTTATTCCAACTCTCTGCTTTCTTCGGGTTAGCCAAACATCTATCCCAAGCAAGTATATTACACCTAAGCTGATGTGATCTTACCTTGTATATCAACCTTTTCTGCTGTACCTTATCAAAGTCGTTTTGGAAGTCTAGATATACAACATTTACAAGACCCCATTATCCTTTTCACTTTTTACATCTCAAAGAACACTAGCAAGTTAGACAAACATGATTTACCCTTCATAAAATCATGTTGACTCTGATGGATGGTGTTTTTACTTTCCAGTTGTCCTGTTACTACTCCCTTAATAACGGATTGCAAAAATTTCCCAAGGACAGATGTTAAACTGGTCCATAGTTTCCTACTTTCTACCTCCCTCCTTTTTTGAATAAGTGTTACATTATCATTTTTCTAATCCACTGAATCCTTTCCAGAATCCAGGAAATTTTGGAATACTATAATCAGTGTATTCACGATCTCTGCTGTTACTTCCTCTAAGTGTCTAGGATATAGGCCATCTAGACCTGTGAACTTGTTTTCCTTTAGTTTGCTCAGTACTTTTTCCATAGTGATGGCAATTGTTTTAAGTTCCTCCTTTTCCATAATCTCTGCATTACCTGTTACTATTTGGATTGTTTCAGTAATCTCCGCTGTGAAAACTGAGGTGAAATACTGATTTAGTGTTTCTGCCATTTGTGACCCCAATTATCAATTCCACAGTCTTGCCGTCTAAGACGCCTGATGGTCACTTTAAACTACACAGTTGTCTTTTTACTGAGTCGATCCCTGTGATGGACACTGAAGTTCCTCACCCAGTATACATTCTGTGCCCTTGCCACTGTCAGTGCTTCTTCCCAATGGTGCTCCACATGGAACAGTGCTGATTCACAAGCAGAGATGGAAACAGAACAATAGGTGGCAAACCACAAGAGATTTCCTTGTTCACGATTGATCTGATGCCACCACATGGGCTCAAGACTCAAGATTAGGGACTCCCAAGGCAACTTCTTCGGAAATGTATACCACTGTGCCATCACCTCTGCAGGTATGTCCTGTTGGTGGCACAAGTCGTGTCCAGCACAATGACGTTGATATCTAGGGCACTGACAAAGATGTAATTTCATCAGGCTGTTGCTTGATTAGTCTATGGGACAGCCTTCTCAATTTTACCATAAGCTCCCAGATGTTAGTATGGAGAACTTTGCAGGTTTGACAGAGCCAGATTTACCATTGTTGTTTCCAGAGCTGAGGTCAATGCAGGATCATCTGTCCAGTTTCATTCTTTGCTTTGAGCAGCTTTTGATACAACTTTGTGGCTTGCTAGTCTGTTTCAGAGGGTTGTTCAGAGTCAAATACACTGCTGTGGTTCTAGAATCAATATAGGCCAGGCCAGGTAAGGATGATAGATTTAAAACCCTAAATAACTTTAGAGAACAATTCTTTTTAATGACAATCAATAATCATCATTGAATTCAACTTTCACTGTCTGGGGTGGTGAGATTCAAACCGATATCCCTAAACATTAGTTTAGGGCTCTGGATTATTAATCCAGAGGCATTACCACCTCTCCCATGTGTCTATTGTCTTTTGAACACACACCACACAATGGCTTGCCCTACTCAACACCTCTCTTGCCGTTCCATTCGCCATTTCCTTCACTGACTCTATCATTGCTCCCTGGATTTTTCGCTTGATGCCTTATTTGCCTCTCTACAGAAGAACTGAACATTTCATTAAATACAACTTGTACTTTAAATGTCTACTAAAGTTTGAGATAAATTGTGCTTACTGGATAACTATTAGTTCAATTTAGTTTCTTTGACACAGACTACTAACTTCTATGCAGTGATATCACAGGCACTGTCACAGCATGTGGGGAGTGTGCCCCCTGCAGTTGCAGGGATAGCAAACATTGCTTTAAGTAACTAATTAGTTGTTGAAAAGGCAATTCCTTTGTATGAAAAATAATATGGTGTTCTGCGAGTTATAAGTCAAATTAGTGCTTGTGTATTTATCAAATGAATGGACATTTTACAGCATCTTGGATTAGAATTATTCTAAGAAAACTATTTCAAATTTATTCAAAGAATAACTCGAATTATAAATAGGACTGGGTCCTTGCACATTTCTCAAATCATATCACTTTAGGGCATTAAAGTAAAAGGGATGTAGTAAACATAGACTGTTAGTTTGATGACAAAAGTATATTTTGAATGTTTCAAAGGGATATTATACTCAAAGGACATATAAGCATCAAATTATTCATAGTTAGCTGTAACTCACTTCATCTGGGGCACCACTGCCAGGAAAGAAATTTCCATCATCATACCGATGAAGAGAAATGTACAACACATTAGGGTCACTGTAAAAGGCCTGCTGTGTACCATTTCCGTGGTGAATATCCTACAAATAATGGAAACAAATATATTAGTTTCAAAAGTATAAAAATAAAGAACCATCTTCTTTTGGTTAATTTTCTAACTCTTCTTACAAATTACTTTTTAATTAGCCAAGCAACGTCATGCACTTTGTGTGTTGCCTTAGGCTTCAAGAATTTGGATACTTAGATCTCAGTACAGCGGAAGATGAAATCATTCCTTCAGAAACTCTCTAGAAGTAAAATTCAAGTTAAATTATTCGGTTTCAAAGATAAGATATTAATTTTCAAACTGCAACAAACAGAAAAAAGCCCACTTCTTTTTTATTTTTCATTCTATTTTTAGCACAGAACAATACATACCCAATCCACAATTAGAATTTTTCCAACGTTAAGTTTTTGCCGAAGTAGTTTCGCAGAAATTGCAACTGAATTGAAAAAGCAAAATCCCCTGAAAGAGAAAATGGACAAATGAAAAAATAAATGTAATCAATAGCGAACAACAAATACCTTATTTAGCAGGATCATGTTTTGATAGGGAAAAAAACAAACAATTTGAAGATCATGAACATCAAGTTGTCCAAGCGTGTATAAGTTACTTTCAAAATTGCCCTTCCAGTTTATAGCAATCATTGAAATATACTATTTCTAAGAAACTTGTATTTAAACTATTTGAAGCCCATTTACTTCTGGTGTCAAGTTAGAGATAAATTGATAAAATGGTTTATTTCAGCTATGTTCTATGAAGACAACTTCTATCAAAAGATGTAGAAATGTGGTATGCAATCTTGAAGAAATTGATTTCATGCATTTACTTCGTGTTTTATTGCTCAGATAATTTTTGGTATGAACTTACATTGCAGTGGATTCTTCTGCATGATGTCCTGGTGGTCGGACAACAGCAAAACCATTCTGTATAAAATAAAATTAAACTTATATTTTACACAAAAGTTAAATCTCAATTTCTAAGAAAATTGATTTGCTCACCCACCCAGCACAAATGAAAACAAAAATCAATACTAAGGTTGTGAAACATAACTTAAAAAGGCACACAGCATGGTCATTTTTAAAATAAAAAGTTTAAGGGATGTAAACATTGCCAGTTAGGGCAGTGAATATTGCTTATCTCTAATTAGTTTTGAGAAAGTGATGGCAAGCTGCTTTCTTGGATTGCTGCAGTCCTGAGGGTTAGGAACATCCTCAGCATTTTAAAAGAGTTCCATGATTTTGACCAAGTGACAGTGCAGCAGTGGCAATCTAGTTCCAAGCCAAGATGGTGTATGGCTTGGAGGAGAACTTGCGGGTTGCGGTGCTCTCATGCATGCTGTCCTTGTTCTTCTACAGGGCAGAGGTTGCAAATTCGGTTGGCGCTGCTGAAGGTGCTACAGTGAATAATGAAGTGCATCTTGTAGATAGTACATTTCTGCCATTGTGCATTGCTGTTGGAAAGAATGACTACTATAGGTGTTGGGGTGTCAACCAAGCAGGCTTCTTTGTCCTTACTAACGCTGAACTTCTTTGAGAGCTGTTAGAACTGCACTCATTCATATAACTTCAATACACTCTTGACTTATGTCTTGTAAATGGTGCAAAGGCACAGGGGTGACGGAGCGGAGTTACCTGCTGCAGAAATCCCAGCCTGTGACCTGCCCTTGTAGTACTTACATAGCTGGCCCAGTCACTTTCCAGTCAATGGTGAATCCCACGACATCGACAGTGGTGAATTTAGCAATGGCTATGCCATTGAATGTTGGAGGGCTCAGGTCAGATTTTCTCTTGTTTGTGATAATCACTGCCTGTCACTAGTGTGCAATAAATGTTACTTGCCACTTCATCCAATTATGGATGTTGCCCAGATTTTGCCACATATGGACACAGGATGCTTCAGTACCTGACAAGTCAAAAATGTGCTGAACATTCTGCAATCAGCTAGCTTTTCCATTTCTACCCCAAAACAGAGAAAAGGTCATTGATGAAGCAGCTGAAGATGGGTGGAGTTACGACACCATCCTTAGGAACTCCTGAAGTGATGTTATGAAACTGAAATAATTGACCTCCAACAACAACAATCTCCCTTATTGAAGAAAATAACTCTATCCAGAAAGGGGTTTCCCTGATTCCCATAACTCCAGTTTTGCTGGGGCTCCTTAATTTCATATAGTCAAATGTTGCCTTGATGAGGCAGTAAACTTTCACCTCACCTTTCTGGTTCAGTTCTTTTATCCATGTTTGGAACAAGGTTGTAATGAGGTCAGGAACTAAATAGCTGTGCCATACCAAGTGTCAATGAACAAGTGCGACTTGATGGCACTGTCGATAATTCCTTCCATCATACTGTTTTGTTGGCACCTGTCTCGACCAGCATTCATTGCCCATCGCTAATTGCCCAGCAGGCGGTTGAGAGTCAACCACATTGTTGTGGGTCTGGAGTTAAATATTGGCCAGACCAGGTAAGGATGGCAGTTTCCTTTCCTAACGGACATTAGTGAATCACATGGGCTTCTGTGATGCTGGGGTACTCAGGATGAAGGCAATTACACTGACAGTGCTGTTAGAGAGTCGCATAATATTGACTCATCAACAGTGAAGGAGTCATGATATAGTTTCAAGTTAGACTCGTCTGTGTTGGAAGGATTTTACAGCTCAAGAATTTACATTTACTTTCTAAATGGATGTAATGAATCACGTTGAATACCAGGTATTTTTCCTGATTGTCCATTTGATCATTCTGTAGAATAATATGAAATTGAGCTATTCAGTCCAAGGAAATCTCAGGGTTGACAGCTAGTTTGAGCAAAGTTCATTGATACCAGATGAAACAGCATTTTGGCTGCTGCAATTGGCTCACATTTCTCTCAGGTGGTGAGGAGTACAGTGGGTGATGGGAACAGTTCATCCTCCTGATATTGAGCCTTTTGCAAGGAGTACTAGAAGGCAGGTTCACCATAGAGGCATATACTTTTAATAGGACCCATTAGATGGCAATTATGATGGGAAAGCCTGGCCCTTCTTTTCTTTGCTAGTTCAATAGGTGCTCTTACTTCTACCGGATGAGATCCTTTTAGTACCTGATGGACACACTTAGTCCAGCCAAAAGTCAATATGGAAGCATTGCCAAATTCCTGTCCATTGAAACTTAAAATTAAAGCTAGTACATAGGTTGTCTTTTTTTTCTAACCAACTGAGAGAGTGATAGAAACATAGAATCCATACAGTGTGGAAACAGGCCCTTCGGCCCAACAAGTCCATACCGAACCTCAGAGCATTCCACACATCCCTGGACACTATGGGCAATTTAGCATGGCCAATCCACCTAACCTGCACATCTTTGGACTGTGGGAGGAAACCGGCGCACCCGGAGGAAAGCCATGCAGACACGGGGAGAATGTGAAAACTCCACACAGACAGTCACCCGAGGGTGGAATTGAACCCGGGTCCCTGGTCCCTGGTGCTGTGAGGCAGCAGTGCTACCCTTATGAGTGATGATAACCCTAGCGATGTTACCCTTTGTTGTAAGGCCAAGAAGTTACTTTTACAACTTAGATAATTTACTAGAGGCAAAATTCAACTCTCACTTTGTACCATGCTTAAGTAAAAATATGATAATAGACCTATTTTGACTATCATGCAAACGTATTTGCTGAACAGCAAGGCCAAGCTTGAAGTGATCAGAAAAACATAGCTACAGTCAGGGAGGTGTTCACATTTAAAAGAAAGTTAGAATATTTTTCCTGATTCTCTCAACAATGCCAATTTAGGTATTCACCCCTTGAAAAATATTTATCAATAATATAACCAAATTATGCTTTCTCTTATTTAGAATTAAATAATGAAAAATCTTGTGAAAGACCAATGGGAGTCAGACTCAACAGTTGTTGAGTTCTGCAAGTACACAAAATTGCACAATTGTAACATCTGTGAAATGACTGTCCCATTTTAAGGAGGTTTTTACAGTACTTATGCTGAGGTTGTAAAATTAGCTATTAAAGGGAGTAGCACTGGCACAGAATATTGGTGCAGCTATTAAATTATGAAGCACATGCTATTAGCCATAGTCTTGCCCCCACATGGGGAGTTTTTGATAAAACCTAGGTACACACAGTTGCCAACCACAAACAATACGAGAGCCAATAATCAAGTTTAAAACTACCTTAGGGCATTTTCCACACTTTGTGGTGCTCTGTTACATTGACACACATGAACGGAGCAATTCCGTTAAGCAGCTCTTCAGTTGGGGAGCAATTGAAAACATTTAGAAAGTGGAAACTGATTTTTCAAACAACTGTATCAAACGTTAAGCTAAAAATTATATTATACCTTCTGGAAGCTCTAATATTTACATGGAATATCTGAATCATATTTTACAATCAACAGGGATATTTTTGTCTTAAGTAAGTGGTCCATTTACTTAATATGGTATGCATTTTCAATAATCTGTCAAAATGTGTTATAGATGCAATGTTCTCAATTTCACCTTGAGTTCCCCTGAAGCCACCTTGAATGAGAGTTCAACAACACAGCCAACAGCCATGCGAACAGCACTAGATGAATGCATTTCATTCCAGACAGTGTCACTATCCACCTGCAAATAAAAGAAAGAAATCTTACTTTCCAAAGCCAAGGGATGAGATGAGAATTTTAGAAGTGAGGCATTGTTAGACAAGAAGCCAACCTAGTGTTATGATCCACTTGAGAAATTGCGCTGATGCTTGACCACCATTAATCCCAGGGTTGTCACAAAAGTTAAAGATTTAATCAAAGTATGAAGAGTCCCTAATTCACTTGTCTGATGGACTCAGGTTAATAGAAAACACTGAACAGGTTTCTGAACTTAACAAGAACTACTATTTATACAATTAAGTGAATTATAAGCACAAGCAAATAACTATGAACTAGCAACATGTAACTCTGCTAGTTAAAACTATTGTAGTTAAACTCCCTATTAAAACCCCTACACACGTATAGAGGAACATAGACAGACAAAAAAAAGTTGTGCATGTTATGATTGGAGGAAAAAAATACTACAGAATCACAATTCACTAGTCTACAGGCTTGGCTGAGGGGTTTCTTTTTCTTCTCAAAATGTCCGTTCTCCTATGTCCTGCCTTCAGCTTCTCAGTTCTTTGCCAAAGGCACAGGAGATTTACACATCAAATGTTCACGGTTACAGGCAACAGTTTACAGCAAATTGTGGGGAAGAATAACTGATTGTGTTTAGGTTCCAGTTACATGCCACAGAGAGATAAAGAAACCCTACTTCTTTCAGTTTAGAAAAGCTTCTACCACAGTATTGTTTACACACATGATGTTCAGCTGTCCAAAAACCAAACGGAGACTGGTTGTCAGGCTGATGACCTTTGGTATTCACAACTGCACAACCAAATCAGCTACCTGTTGCTGGCCGAATTTCACTTTGTGTACACACCCTTGTGGTATGCAGTCTTATCTCATATCATTTGTGAAGCAACAATGCAAACACAACACTCAATGAGTTCCAGTTACCTGTTTTCAAAAGTTCAATAATTTCTTCCCCAGAGCTTGATTTGAAAAAGTGCTTTCCCCATTTCAGTCAATAATCAAAAATAAAATGATACGGTCTTTACACTAGGATCCGAAAGTGCAGAGTGGACAGGAATTGTGTATTGCAGAATAAGCTGTAGAATTCTAAATCAGCTCAAGTTGTGGAGACTGGAGACTGGCCAGGACAGCATTAGAGTAGCTACATCATAACTAAACAAAATATTAGTTTAGGGTTGCAACATATGGTAAGTTGAGGAAATCTTATAATTGTAAGCTCAATTGGTAATCAAATTGGATGCTAAATCTGCAAACGGTCTAGGTCAGCCAGATTGAGCAGCTGGGAGGGAAATAGTCAAAAATCACATGACACTAGGTTATAGTCCGACAGGTTTATTTGAAATCACAAATTTTTGGAGCACAGCCCCTTTGTCAGGTGCAGTGAGAGGAGAGCACACAGACATCGAGTTTATAGGCAGAGAGATCAGAGGATCATGCAACTGCTGTGAGTGGAGTGAACAAACCTAAAGTGGCTGGCTGACTGCCTGCTTCCTGTTGAATCTTTAATCATACATACATTCTTGCATTCTAGAAATTGCAGCAGCAGGATATGGAGAACTCCATTAGAAAGGAGACACAAGTTTCAACTGATTAAGACGCAAATTCCAGAATCTGTTTCAAGTCACTGCCCCAAGATAATTAAAGGTTTCATCAGTGTCTGCCTAACTTTCCAAACTTCAAACAGACAGAGCGATAGGAATATACAGAAGGTGATATCTCAGGTCAGACACTGAATTGTACATGTAAGGCCTTGTCCAGAATGTGTCTCAGAGTTTTAACCTGGAATCAGGCTGCTTTTATTCTGAATGCAGGAATTTATAAAATGACACACTGACTGACTGTTGTGTGTTTTTGAATAAAATAGAATGTAACAGAACATAAGAAGCATGGAATAAATGATTCACCCTATTGGTTTATATGTATGAGTGTGCATGAGACAGCGTGTGTACGAGAGCATACATGCACAGGCGTGTGTGTATTGTGTGTTGTGTGAAAGAGTGTAATAAGTAATCCAAAACTGTGCAACCTAATTACGGTAGAGAGATCCTAACAATTTATCAAGGTGATGCTGTCAAAACAGGACAGTGAGGAAAATTTTACAGGTACAGAAGTGTGGTGGGGTCATCTGCAGCGCGACGTGAAACCAAGATCACGGTTGAGACCATCTTCATAGGTACGGAATTTGGCTATTCTGCATTGTTGTGTATCTCGAAATCCACCTTGGAGGACGCTCACCTCAAGTTCAGAGGCTGAATACCCTTGACCGCTGGGGGGAAACACTCCTGCCTGGCGATGATTGCGTAGTGTCTGCATGGTCTTGCCAATATACTATGCCTCGGGGAATCCTTGCCTGCAGCATTATGAGATAGACAACACTGGCTGAGTCACATGAGTATCTGCCATGTACGTGGTAGGTGGTGTTCCCACATGTGATGGTAGTGTCCATGTCAAAGATCTGACATGTCTTGCAGAGGTTGCCACGACAGGGTTGTGTGGTGTTGTGGTCGAAGTTGTCCTGAAGGCTGGGTAGTTTGCTGCAAACAATGGTCGGTTTAAGGTTTGAAGGTTGTTTGAAAACAAGAAGTGGAGGCATTGGGAAGATCTTTGCGACATGCTTATCGTCATCGATGACATGTTGAAGACTACGAAGAACATGGCTTAGTTTCTCTGCTCTGGAGAAGTACTGGATGACAAAGGGTACTCTATCGGTCGTGTCCCGTGTCTGTTTTCTGAGGAGGTTATTGCAGTTTTTCTTTGTGGCATGTCAGAACTGGCGATCATCGAGTTGAGCATCATATCCCGTTCTTACGAGGGGTCCTTCAAAACCTCCAGGCATCCATGATGTTCCTCATCATCTGAGCAGATCCTGTGTATCTGCAAGGGTTGTCCATAGTGTTGGACCTGAGATATCACCTTCTGTATATTCCTATCGCTCTGTCTGTTTGAAGTTTGGAAAGTTAGGCAGACACTGATGAAACCTTTAATTATTTTGGGGCAATGGCTTGAAACAGATTCCGGATTTTGCATATCCTCCATATCCTGCTTCTGCAATTTCTAGAATCCAAGAATGTATGTATGATTAAAGATTCAACAGGAGGCAGTCAGCCAGCCACTTTAGGTTTGTTCACTCCACTCACACCAGTTGTATGATCCTTTGATCTCTCTGCCTATAAACTCAATGCCTGTGTGCTCTCCTCTTACTGCACCTGAAAGGTTTATGTTTCAAAACCTTGTGATTTCAAATAAACCTGTTGGACTATAACTTGGCGTCATGGGATTTTTGACTTGGTCCACCCCGGTCCAGTACCGGCACCTGCACATCATGGCTACCATCAACATGGAGGGAAATGGAATCAGGGTGAGCAATTATGTGGTGGTGAAGACAATGGAAGGGGTCACATTAAGTGATAAAGCACTACAGTTGGGTGTCATTAGCAAATATATATACCTTGCTGTCGTATCTTTGGATGTCATCACTAAAGTAAACCACATCAAGCTGAGAAAAAGGATGCTGCCAGGGATGGATCCTTTGCAAGCCCCAGATGTACTAGTGTGGGTTCAGGACCACAGCTGATCACAATCTTTGTAGCTTAGAAGTCAAACAATGAGGGTGCAGTGGAAGAGGAGAGGCTTTAAGGAGATTGGTAGCAGTGATGAAACGAAGGCAGGGAATAAGTCCGCATTCCAGAATGATCCTCAAACAGTGAGCAGTTTTACCAGGGGGAAAGAAGGCGTTTTTCAGTGGAGCAGCCAGATCTGGAAATGAATGACTAAACTTGTACCAAGATAGGTACAAATTTGTGCCTTTCTTTTTAGGAGTCTCCATGGTAGACATGACGTAGAGGTGCTGGTGTTGGACTGGTGTGGACAAGGTCAGAAGTCACACTACACCAGGTTACACTCCAAAAGGTTTTAATTGAAACCACAAGCTTTCACCACTCCGAAAGCTTGTGATTTCAAATAAACCTTTTGGACTGTAACCAGGTATTATGTGACTTCTGACCTCATCTTTAGGAGCCAAAGGGAATGACCAGGGTAGGACTGATTGTGAATTGTATCCAAGACCAGGGCATCAAAACAAAGAAGAGGGAGTGACTAAGCAGATCTGGAACTAGTAAGTGACAATTACTGAAATATGGTGCATACATGGCCAAAGGCTAGCCAGTTGAAAGTTTGGCAAGTACACTTATGACTTGAGGAATATTTCTTTCAGAACTGGATGCAGAAAGCAAAATTGGTGAGGAACACGAGGATCAGCGATAGCTTTGTCTGTGTTTAAGACAACAAGGACAGAGAGGCCATGACTATGAGGAGAGTTTATATTCAGAAGTTAAAGGAGGAGAAAAGAGAATTAAAAAAAGCAACCTGAAGCTCACTCTCATAATTTTTCATTTTATAAACAAAGTTAATCAAGAAAAACTTCTTAAATGTTCATTTTTGTCAAAGATCCAATTATTTTCATTGAATGGAGTAGAATAACATTTTTGAACAAGTTGATTAGAAAAATAGGTTAATAAAAAAAGAAATCTGATAAAAACACAACAAAAAAGGTTCCTGCAATGATGAATGATTTCTAATCAATTATACAATACTGCTTTGAAAATCTCTTTCTTTGAAAATGGCTCCAACTTGCCAGGAATATATTGTTGGAAGTAATGCCTCAGTAACTCACAACATAAAGAAATATAATTACAGTCGTACCTTACACTCATTTATAGTTTGGAAAAACAAGATCCAAACTGCACGTTTCAAGTTTGCTTCATAAGTAGTTGGGTTCAGACTATTTCCCTGTATGAAATGAAGGACTTCTCACATAATGTGTTAACAGACTTACAAGTGCTGCTATCCCATCCTGAAAACTATGATTACAATGAATATTCAAGATATACTGCCAGACCATATTCTTGCTCATCTCCCAAAATATTCCCGAGGCCTATGAAATTATTTAACGGGACAAACAGGGCTCAAGCTCGTCTTCAATAATCTACTTTCGTTAACCTTTGT